GCTTTACTCTAATGTTGTATATTAACAATTCACAAACAGTAACACAATCTGCTCCTGGTCTTGTTTTTATAGCTTCTCTATCCCCTGCTACCAATTACATAGTCTATTTGATTTCTGTATTGGCCATCTGGTGATGTCCATGTGTACAATAATCTGTTTGGTTGAAGCATGAATAATCTGTTTGCTTGAAGCATGAATTTGCAATAAATAGATTACTGTATTTGCATAAGTCTATGGGCTGTTTTCCTGCTTTGTTTCTGTCACCTAGACCAAATTTTTGAACATTTGGTTCTGCTTTGTTCCCTACTTCTGCATTCCAGTCACTTCTGATTGTAAGTATGCCTTGTTTTGGTGTGTGATCAATTTCTTCCTGGATGCTTGCATGAAAACTTTTGATTTCATCATCTTCAGTATCTGTAGTTGGTGAGTAGACTTGGATGATGGTTATAGTAATAGGTTTTCCACGGAATCTGGTTGATCTTATTCAGTCAAGGCTTGCATTATATCCCCTAACTGTCTGTGCTACTTCTTGCCTCAATATTAGCATCAATCTCTTTCTTCTGAGATTATTATTTCCAGACTAGAACACTTTATAGTTGTGTCACTAGTAATATCCTGCTCCAGTCCACTTTCGTTCACTGACACCAAACACTGCAAAGTTTATGAATTCCATTTCTTGTTTTAATATTCCAAGTTTACCTTGATTCATACTTCTCACATTCCATGTTCCAATTATATATGTTGTACCGGAGGGGGTCGTCAACCCCCTGTCCAGTGCCGGTCCATGGGCTTGCCGGAACTGGGCTGCGGATATGGACCCCTGCCCCCCCCTGCATGCACTGTGGGTGTCTTGCACCCATGGAGGGTGTGTCACACTCGTGGGAGGGTTGCGCTTGCCCCCACGTGCCACTGCCCCCCTGTGCATGGAGCTCACTCCCCCAAGCTGGTCCACAGCCCCAAAAAGGTTGGGGAGCACTGTTGTACAGCACTGAACTTTCTTTTTATTTCTGTGCGCATCAGCCACTAGACATCCTTTCTGCTTTAATCTAGTAAATTGCATCATTTGTGGCAGTGCTATTTGTACTTGTCCTTTGTTCTTTCCCAGTAGCCAAATGAGTGCTTTCCAACCCGAGAGAATCACTTTCCAGCTCTATCTCTTGTTCCATCCTGCTCTATCTTATTATATGATTTTCAGGTTTAGAAAGGTTCAGCAGTGGTTTATCATCGCCATATTCTGTGCAGTATTCAGAAAAGTTAGCTTGAATGCCAGTACTGTTGCCTGCAAGTGTCACCTTCAGCTACTGTTGCTGCACAGTAGCTGCTACCCCCATCACCACTGGAACTATCCATTCTCTTCTGTGAATGTGGCAGCTACCTTTGAAGAGGGTGTATGTATCTTAGTCTGATTTATCAGCTGTGACCTTTCAGCCTTGGGTGACCCTCTTAGGAGTCTGGTTCACAGTGCAGTCTGACCTCCTAATGGCATTGCTCTCAGCTTCAATGAAACACTCAAACGCCTTCACCACATCAACGTGTGCATCCAAGAAGGGATATTAGCGCTATAACCTATTAAATTTTATGCAAGTTCTCAGTGACAAGATACATACAAATTACCATCTATTACATAAGTTACATGGATTTGAAATCATATTTTGATCGCAACAGAAGGAGACAAGGTTTCCCAAAAGCAGATATTAACAAGAAACAGAAGCTTATTCAGTAGTAAAATAGAAAAGCTTCAATTGTTTCTTTGTTTCTATGAAAGCAGAAGATGGGGGAAGCATTTTAGTCCACGTCAAATTTTACTACATATGTACTGAGGTTGTTGTTGCCATCAAGACACATCCAATTTACGAATGGAATGGAATCTCCAAAATATTCTGTACTCAACAGCTCTTGCAAAGTCAAGACCGATTTCTTTTAGGGAGTCTGTTCATCTCATATTTGTTCCTCTGTTCCTTCTACCTTCAACTTTTTTATTGTCTTTCCAGATAATTTTGCCTTCTCATGAGTAGGATAGTTTTCGTTTCATCATATCCACGTCCAGAGACAATTCAGGATATCTCCAAAGCTCTCTTCTAGCACCACCATTCATATGATTTTTTTTCCTAACAGCTTTCTTCACTGTTCAGCTTTCACACCAGTATATAGTGATCAGAAGTACAATAGTGTGAATGATCTTAGTCTTAGTATCCAGCAGCACATCCTTACATTTTCTTCATCATTGCCTTTCTCTACTTCAGATTTCTTGGCTGCAATCCCCATGTGGATTGATGACTGAACCAAGATATACAAAATCTTTGACAATTTCAATTTCTTCATAATCAATGCTAAAGTTGTGTAATTCTTCTGTAGTCATTATTTTTTTCTTATTAATGTTCAACTGCAGTCCTGCTTTGGCATTTTCTTCTTTCACTAAAAGTCATTTCAAATGATTGCTGCTTTCTACCAGCCAGATGGTTTCATATGGATATCTTAAATTATTGATTTTTTTCTTCTGCCAATTTCTACTCCTCCTTCATCTGAATTTAGCCCAGCATTCCGTATGATACATCATGCATACAGATTGAATAGATGGGAAGATAAAATACACCCTCATTTGATATCTTTGTCTATGGGAAACCATTCTGTCTTTACATATTTGCAATATGATTTCCAGTGCCTCCTTCTATTTCAAAACCCAGCTTGAATGTTAGGCATTTATTGTTCCATCTAAGGCAAAAGCCTTTGTTGCAACTCTTCTTTGGATGCACACCTTAACATGGTAAGGTGGTTTGGGCATGTCAGAGAAAATGATAGCAATGCCATCAGGAGCCTAGACTCCATTACAAGCCTGGACTCCCAAACAGGGCCATCCACGAAGGAATGTTCACAGCTGAGGCAACAGGCAAAGATGCATCCACCCTCAGAAACCACATCCTCAGAAGAGAATGGATAGACCCAAAGGTGACTGGGGGCAGAGAAACTTCTGGAGGGCAGCTACTGGGCGGCAGCAGTAGCTGAAGGTGACCCTGGGGTAGGATCTTTCCCAGACAGACAGTGATTAGCTTTTGTTAGTACTGTGGAGAAGAAGGCAAAGGCAAACCACTGTTGAACCTTTCTTACCTTGAAAAGCCTATGATGTACTGATACAGATAATTATTTCATTTTTATGTCCCCCTGTAGCTTTCACTTTGAGAAATATTTGATAATGGTAATGAAAATAATTACACCCCTAAGTTAACGGTTCAAAATGCTGTGATGCATCTGAATTACATGATATTTCGAAACATTTGAGACTGGCGAAAAGTCAGGAAGAACAATCTTCAGAACACGGCCAAAGAGCCCGAAAAACCCACAACAACCACTATCCTTGATTTCTTTGGGCACACAATGTCTAAAATTTATTCTAATAATAACTCTTATAACTCTACCAGGACTACACAATAAATAATTCTAATAAAGCAAACTTCTAGCTATGCCACAACTTTTGAGAGCAGTTCACACATTATAATTTTTATCAGAACACTGATGCCATTGTACAACTGCTTTCATGTTTGCACGTAAGATTTCTTATGCAGATATTCTCATGAGAGAGACATGATATGCTTCAGCTGCCACATCTATATACCTGACGTTGTTAAGTTAGGTTTGCCTCTATGTGGTATATGAAAAAGTGAGCAATTTACTTCATTTACAGTGCAGATCTTTACATATTCTTACTAAGAAACAAGTCACATGGGATTAAACAGGGCCTATTCTCCATCAGCGATGGCCTATGATCTAACCATGAACCTGATACTATGGGGTGAGATGTCTCCTTTCCTTAGACCACAGGCCACCAATATTTTCCTTTAAGTGTGTTTAGAAAAGCAGCTCTGCAATGTTTTCAACTCTGTAAAACAGATAATGTTTCAACTAGAAATATCTAGATTCAAATTTACACTTGGCCATCAAATTATCCTCTGGGTGACCTTACAGTAAACAGAACATTTCAGCCAAAGTCCCACACAAAATTGCTTAGAAGATAAAATAGAGCCTCAGCCATCTATGCCATCAGGAATTTCTTATACAAAAATTTAAAAGGATAAAAATCTAACAAACAGTAACAATTATAATAATAAAGTAGCATTGGCATTATTGTCATTTTTCATTAAATCAAGTTTTACAAGCCCATAGACACAACGTGACACACTGCTCTTGGAAAGTACTTGTACTCATGATCTTAGTATGGTTAAAAACTAAAGGAGTCCATTATTTAGGGTTTTTACAATTATTGAAAATATCTGTACCTAAGGGATACAGATATTTAAGAACTCCACCATTTAACAAGAACAGGAAGGAAAGATTTAATCTCATGAAACAGCATTAAAATGGAGCATTTTACAATTAATGTTAACAGAAAAATCTCATTGATCTTGGTAGAAAAATGGCCATTCCTCAAATGACACTTAGTTGCATTTGGACAATATTTATCCTAGAAAGCATTTACCAACCAACAGAGGAAAAAATTAAAAACAAGCGATCGTATTGCATGAAGTCCCTAGATCTTGTAGACAGCTTTTTCAAAATATTCCTAAATGTTGCTTATACTCCAATTATAAAATTAATTTTTACTACTAAATATTGTTGTGTTCTACTTAATCACTAACAATGACTTGAGTCGGGTGTATGATGTGGAGACGGATGAAAAACCAGCAATATTTAGACATTTTGAAAACAGAAGCAAAAGTTCAAGCAACTGAGAAAAGGGCTTAAGTTGTTTCATATTACAAATTTTACACAAAACAGATGTAACCTTGGAACTTTAATACTAGATGGTATATTTAGAGACATTCTTATTTTACTACCCAAAACACAGACAAAAAGGTTATAAAAGTCATATGTTCATGAAACACAAAGACCAATTTGTGAAAGTAAATGATTTACTATACTGCTTTTCATCTTTCTGTTTAAGTACTGTTTAGTAAGCAGTATCATTGCCTTATACTGCTTAAATTCATCAAAATTCAGTTGTTTACCTGGAATTTTGAGGTTCTGAAACATCTGAATCTGTGCACGTTTTCTTCACCTGCAGGAAAGAAGTGATTACATTTAATTTCCCATAAAAAAGAGAAAACAAACAGAAAGGCTTCCTCACTTGTAATTAATGCATTTACATCACACAAAGTGGATACAGCCCTGCTCACCATGGTCTCTAAATACTTCTCACATCTTACAGTGCGGATATGCAATGCTAAACAGTGTGCTTCATTATTATCCCACGAACAGCTGCCAACGTAACTTCCCTTGACTCCATTAGTATGTAAAATGCTCAGCTAAAATAGTTTGGGAGTAGCCTGACTTGGAACAAAGAAACCAAAGAACCAGGTTCCCTGCTTAGAAACAAGAGAGCCAAACAGTTCTCAATTCTGTAAAAAAAAAAAAAAAATACTGTTTTCCCAACTTATACTGCTTCTGTTTCCTGCTAAAGCTCAAAATAATAAACACCAGATTCTGTGGCAAAAGTGCAGTGTTAGCTAAATAATGTATATTTTAATGTTCATTTTCTGAATCTAGTTTGCTTGCTATAAATTGCCAATGTGTGTTGTTCCAGCTTTATTATTTTACAACTATTGTTTGTATGTGCACTCTTTCTTTACCATGGAATGAATCCCCACCGAATCCCCTCAAATTCCCACGCTATGCATGAGGATAATATCTACTGAATCTAACAGAAAAACTTGTACAGCATTCTCGCATTTAAAAAAACAACAATCAAACCCACCAGCACCACCCAAAACAAAGCCCCACAGTTTTTGTCTTTGCTTCCAAGTAACAACCATGAGTTTGTGCTTCTAACTCCTAAGTATACCTCACTTCTGAAACAAAATGTACTGTTGATTTAAAACTATATTCATATTCACTTTTTTTTAAAAAAATCATGATTTGTTCTTGTAATATGTTGCAGAAAATTATCAATGAATAGGCATTCAGAAGCAGTTACTTGCCCAAATTAATCAGGAATAAAACTGGAATTTGACATATGTTATTACGTCCATCATGACACGTATTTCATTCAGACAACAAAAATCACGGTTCCCAGCTATAACATAATCTGTGATGAGGGTGAGCTTCTCATGATTCCTCTCTTCCTCTTTAATAAATGTGAGAAGGCAATTTCCACATCCAATTTTAATCTAATGGAAGTTCATGATTCCCAAACCCAAGAAACCGATTTTGTTTCTTTGGCCTAAGGCAAGATCCTGTTCCACAAGCAAATACAATTATATTATTGGATAAGGCAGATGTACATGACAAGCATTCTGTTATTATACTTATCGCTTACAGCAGCAGTGGGCAGAAGCAAGGTTTTCCATATGTTGTAAGGCTGAAACCCATGTCATTCCTTCATCACTAGTTAGGCTGGCATGGTTGATGGAAGCTCCAGTTTAATGACATCTGGAGGAGAGCACTTTGCCCAAGCTGATTTCAAAGGCACTGAACATTTTAACAGAATTTTTGGGAGTAAGGTGCAAAGAAAAAGAAAAATTCCAATGTAGAATGGATAATTCCATTAGCCTACTTTCACAAGGACATGCTGATTGAGGAAGAGGCAATTCTTCATAGTGCTAAAAAAAATTGCCCCACTTAGAAGACATTAGGAGTACCATGGCTGGTACACATGCCGCTGTCTGCAAGCCACTGGATGAATGCAATTATAGCAATAATACATTTCATACAAAAAATAATATGTAACATATACAAATGTAATCAGTGGTTTAATCTGTAAATTTAAAAAGCCAATGAAAGCATTCTGTACAATAAGAGCTTATGACAATACTTTTGAAAGATGATATATACTTCTAAATTATTTATATCTGTTCATCTGTGTTGCCATAATTCTAGAAACAACAACAGCAAGGTTATTTCTTTGTTGCAACCCACTCATGCCCCTTTCTGCTGAGATTTGCAACCTTAATCAAAACTATACTACAGTATTTAACTCTGTAACAAAGAATTCTCTAGCATCTTTAAGACTGTTATAGTGTGAACTTTAATGGACACAAAGTACAATGGTACCTCGCTAGATGATGACCCCGCTGTACGACGAAATCACAGGATGGTGACTTTTTGTGATCGCTATATTGATACGCAAAACTGTCATTTCTATGGGGAAATTCCGCTGGACATCAATTAGGTCCGTGCTTTGCGAATCGTTTGTTCGCAAGACGATGATTTTTCCGGCTCAGCAAAATGGCTGCCCTGTCTTTTCCGGACTCATGCTTCGCAGGGCAGCCATTTTAACAGCTGATCAGCGCTCAGAAAATGGCTTCCCCTATGGGCGATCTTCGCTGGACAATGAGGTAATTTCCCCATTGGAACACATTAAATGAGTTTCAATGCATTCCAATGGGGAAAGGCTTTTCGCATGATGACGATTTCGCTTAACAATGATTTTCCTGGAACAGATTATCGTCGTCATGCGGGGCACCACTGTACATTTCTTCAGATGTAAGGAGTTTAGATATCTCTTCTTACAACAAATAATTACCCTGTTTCCCTGAAATAAGACCCAACCTGAAAATAACCTTTGTATGATTTTTCAGGATTCTCATAAAATAAGCCCTACCCCCAAAATAAGCCCCAGTTAAGTGAAAGCACACCCTCCACCATTGTGCAGTAACCAGTCGAAGATGGTATGACTGTATTTGAATAAAAGTAGATGTTTGTACATGAAAAAAAAATCCCTGAAAATAAGCCCTAATGCGTTTTTTTGGAGCAAAAATTAATATAAGACCCTATCTTATTTTCAGGGAAACATGGTATTGTTGGGCTGTGATACTGATATGGTAGTTTAATTTTTGAAATAAAAAAAATGAGATTTTGTGTTGATTTAAATAAAAAATATTTATTTTATTTAAATCGTGATTTAAATTGATTTGAAAAAAATCTTTTTATCTACCTTGGATGCAGACAATATGTATAGTGGGGATGGGACAGAGACAGTGGAACAACAACCTGTTTCTGTACTGGCCAGACATGTTTCCTTCTGCTACATCAGAGAAATAACATGCATGAACACAGAAAAGAGACAGACATGGGTTCTATGGAATTATTAGTGCAATAAACATCTTCCTGAACATCTTAAAGAATCCAAATGGAACATCAGACATAAATAATGCTACTTGCTGTAAAATGTATTCTTATTGACATATGAAAGCAAGCAGTGTTCGCATGCATAAACTATATCCCAGTTTCCCCATGTACATTGGAGATTAGTGTGCAAGTAAAAAAAATTAAAAAACTAAAAAAACCCTCACCCTTTTTAGGATTTTAAAGTCCAGAATAATTGACATTAATTTCATTTTGGAGGGTAAGATTACTATGGAATATACTACCATCTAGTGAGTCTGAGCAAATAGAACAAAGGCAGGTGAAATATGGTCTTTCCGAGGTTGTCAACTGCAACACCTGACACTCTTCACCATGACTATGCTAGTTAAGACTGCTGGGGGGGGGTGTCCCATGATATCTGGGGCCCACACTCTACCTGTGCAGGAATAGAATGCCTGGAAATAATCTTTTACCTGCTACAAGTGTATCAGGGGCTGTAATGTTTACATGTGGCTTAATCTGCCATATAAAATTTCCATTTTCAACCTATTTTCTGGTAGAGATTAAAATTAGACTCTGAAATAACTGAAGGCAGGGCCCTTTTCTTTTTCTCTGTGAGGAGCAAGAATGCAGACCATCTGCCTCCTTTATTAAGTGGGTTTAAGAGATGGGGTTGACTCCCCAGTCCTCAGAGTCTGAGACAAAAATGTCCCCTTGTGAAATGTTGTTCACATTACATTTCTATGGTTTGGACAGAAGGCTTGTAAGAACTGGCACCTCTATAAATTTGCTGGATAGTATGATAGGCACTAGTTGCATACCTCCTCCTCTACCTAGAGGGGAAAGTAATGTTCTGGTAAGGTAAAGGTCTGCACCAACATACTGAGTGGAAAAGCTAGCAAAAGTTATTTTATTACATGAAGGCTGTGACATAGTATGCAGTTCAGATCTACAACTGATTTGACCAAAGCAGCAGTCAGTGATCACAAACATATGCATCAACTGGAACACAAAGTTACAGTGAGTCAAAACTGTGAAAACTATCCACATTACTGTGATAATGGGGAAAGCGCTAATGGATTTTGCTACAGGAGCCCTTTCTCTTGTTGCTTCTGTTCACTCCCAGGCAGGAATTACTTTCAGAAAACCTTTTCATAGTTTTAACCAATTACTGGGTCATATCAATATTTATTATTTCATTTACCACTACAGGAAGAAACTGCTGACCACCAGGTGGTGGCAAATCCTGCTGGTTGTTTCTGCAGAAGCCACATAAGCTGTATGTGTCAAAAATGTTAATTGAAGGGACACTGATGTTGTTTAGGAAATGTCTGCCTTTGGTTCCCCTTCCCTTTTTTTCCACCAAAAGAGAAATGTCATTCACATTTACAGTATAAAAAAGCAAAATCTGCCCATGCTACATAAATCCTTTCTTACATTTTGAGAGAGAGAAAACTAATAATGTTGTTTCTCGATTTAAGCATTGTGTTGAAAATACATCCACAAAATTAGGGGATACCAACAGGACCTACAGACTGTCAGCTAGATAAAAAAAAGAGATCTCCAGACTGTTAGTTTGAATTGTAAAATGTAACAAGCATATTGAACATTCTATCCTTCTCCTCCTAGGTCCCCACACACAGAACACAGGTGTCATGTGTTGCCAAGCTGCTTCGGACTTACAATGACCTTTCGAGTTAGTGACATGCAAAAGGTGCTATCACTAATAAATTTTTGTAAGTGCAGATCATCTTGTAACAAGTTTAGAAAATGTCATCTCTGTCCACAAAAGAATGCCTAAAAAGAGAGGTTTCCCTTCAGTCCCATTTAGTTTTCATTCACTATTCAAAAATAAATCCACAAGAAGTCCTTAAAGCTTGGAAAGAATGTTAATAAACACAAATACAGTGGTGCCTCAACTTATGAACTTAATCCCTTCTGGAAGATGGTCGTAACTCGAAATGGTCATAAGTC